TACATGTAGTGACTTTTTGACCTGTGCCGTGACCTTTCCGTCAGAAGAACTCAAGCCCGCATACCGGAGTTCTCAAATCTAATTCGAGATGCATGACCACACCCTACAACAATTTTACTTGTCACATCAAGCTCACCTTCACAGCATACTTCCTTTCAACAAGAGCAATGCGACTTTCAACATCACCATGACAGGAAGCTGCTGCAGCCGAGCTAGTGAGGCTTTATGTCCAAAAAAGGGCACAACCACCACGCCTGCCACCGGTTTTTGAAAAAGCGCCGGAGCCGGCGACTTGTGTGTGTCCACCCCTGGACCAAGGGTTTCGTCCAACCGATCCACCTGCCACTTGTACCACCACCGATTCACAAGCAGGGGGCAGGAGTGCCATTGCAAGTCTCCTGCCAACGAAGACGCTTGCAATTGGCAGTGAAACCAGACCTGATCAGTCTGGCGTACCTGCGACTTTGAACTTTTGACCACGCTGTTCCAATCTCTCTTGTTTGCTTCCATGGTGGTTCCACGATACTTCCCCCTAAACCTTTTCCTCCCCAGCAGCGCTGCAGCTTGAGCCGGACTTTTCGCCATGCTGTTCCACCGCCATCCTTCCCATCGTGGTAACTGAGTCACTGAAAACCAATGTCAGAGTGTGTCAACACATGTTTCTAAGGTTTTACCTGGTAATTTTTAGCGTCGGTTCCACTAGAAGGCTGGGTGCTACTAGTAGTTTCTGACCTTACTACTAGGACCAAAAGAAGCAGGGGGCCACAGACCTGCCACTGCTGCTGTGGCCAACGAAGACCGGCAGTGGCAGGTGTGAAAACGTACCTGCAAAACTGTTTAAAACTGTTTAAAGCGGCTAGTGCATAGGCGGTCTGCTAGGTTTTCTGCAAAACGGCTACTGCATAGGCGGTCTGCTAGGTATTCAGTAAAGCGGCTACTGCATAGGCGGTCTGCAAGGTATTCAGTAAAGCGGCTAATGCATAGGCGGTCTGCTAGGTATTCAGTAAAGCGGCTAATGCGTAGGAGCTGAACCTTTTGTTCAAACACCTTCAAATGCTTGGACCTATCGCCTTTCCGTTCTTTCGCCTTTCTTCCACCTGGGAATTGAGTTAACAGAAAACCAATGTCAGAGTGTGAACCGCTCAGTCGTCCCACTTGGGTGCTGGGTGTGATCCCCGTCACTGGGGCGCTGAATTCATGCTGGAAATCGTGTAACGGATTTTCCTTTTCCACCAATCCTTGGATTCTCTTAGCTGCCCACTTTTCACTACTGGATTGACTGTCTCAACAGCCGCCGGGCTTTCACGGAAATTCCAAGTTTCATGGCATGGGGTTGCGTTGGAACTGGAAACTCGAATAGGAGACCCTTCAACAAGTTTCCACGGTGAACGGTGAGACACGGCGCCCCTCCCTACCCCCAGGCCTCCGTTGCTATCCCACCCGCTATTCGGGCAACAGAAGGAAATCGCACTCAACACACTTGTGTGTTGGTGCCTTTCCTTCTGTTTCTCCTATCTATTGCTAGCTACCCGAGCGGTCTAAGACAAAGGTCCCGCTCGCGAGCTACTTTCATTTAACTAAGTGGGCCTCATAACTACACCTATCTGTCTTTCTTGCCCTCTTAGTCTGCTTTTGTTTTGTTTTCTTTGTCTGTCTTTCTAAGGCTTTTTAGGTGACTAGTAATTTTTCCGCCGCGCCAGAACTGGCGCTATATGTACAAAAAGTTGTTGCACACAGAGCGCCGATAGCGGCACTATGTGTGTGTCAACACCTGTTTCTAAGGTTTTACCTGGTAATTTTTAGCGTCGGTTCCACTAGAAGGCTGGGTGCTACTAGTAGTTTCTGACCTTACTACTAGGACCAAAAGAAGCAGGGGGCCACAGACCTGCCACTGCTGCTGTGGCCAACGAAGACCGGCAGTGGCAGGTGTGAAAACGTACCTGCAAAACTGTTTAAAACTGTTTAAAGCGGCTAGTGCATAGGCGGTCTGCTAGGTTTTCTGTAAAACGGCTAATGCATAGGCGGTCTGCCAGGTATTCAGTAAAGCGGCTACTGCATAGGCGGTCTGCAAGGTATTCAGTAAAGCGGCTAATGCATAGGCGGTCTGCTAGGTATTCAGTAAAGCGGCTAATGCGTAGGAGCTGAACCTTTTGTTAAAACACCTTCAAATGCTTGGACCTATCGCCTTTCCGTTCTTTCGCCTTTCTTCCACCTGGGAATTGAGTTAACAGAAAACCAGTGTCAGAGTGTGGTGCGAGTGGGCTGTGGGAAAGAAATTGCGGCCAGCCATATGGGCCACCAAAGATGTTTACATTCACACCTTTTTGTGCACAAAATGGAGATGTCACAGTGTGCAATGCATCTTCAAGCACGTCACATGGAGACAGCTGACCATGTGAGCCAGGCATCCAACCAAGCCGTCCTAGCTGCGTCCGTCCTAGAACAGGCCCGGGAATCCTGGAAGCTTGACCCATCCAGCGTTGCTGCGCTGCTGGGAGTTGGCAGGTGGAAGAATACAAAGTGGAGAAGTGTTTGGAGGCAATTCAGATTGTCAAGAAGATGCCAGCTACCTTTCCAATCACATATGCTATGCTTTATGTGTGTGCAGGGTTTGGCACCAAAAGTTGGAACTCCATGGGTGCTCAAGGCATGGCTGAACGAGGGGGATGGAGAGCTTTGGGTTTAATATGGTTTAATGCTGTGAGTTTGCTTGACAAGAACACACTTTCATTTTCACGCACAGTGTTGTCGTCCCACTTAATGCATTTGCATGATGCGGGGAACGACCGGAAATGTTTGGCTTGAGCATTTAGCAGTTCAAACTTCGAAACATGAGCCACTTGGATGCAACTGCAGAGCTGGCCGATTTCAATTCAGTTCTTCATTCTTTCAATGTTGACCATTGAGCAGCTAAGGCTGACATGGCATAAGGAGATTGCCTCAGAGCTTCAAAAGCCAGCATTGCCATGGACTACGCTGCGCTCCAGGCACGTTGCTCTCCACCTTTTGTTGCACCCGAGAGCCTCGCTTCAGTTTCCAATGGACAGCCCATCCAAGCAGGACGTTTGGACACTTGTTCTTTTTTGTTTCCTTTTGGCCGGATCCTGGCGTTCCACGGCTTGCAGGCCCTGGCTTCCATGAGCGGCTGGACTCAGCCAGGTTGGGGCTGGCCACCTGCGGCACAACCGCCAGCAGCGCAGCCGGGGCCGCAAGCCGCGCCTGCACCAGCAGGACCAGCTACGCCTGGCCCAGTAGCACAGCAGCCGCAAGTCATACCTCCGCCACAGCAACCAGGAGTTCCGCAGCCGCAGGTGATAGCACCCCCCCTGCAACCAGGAGTCCCACAGCCGCAGGTGATAGTGCCACAGCCGTATCCATGGTACCTTGGCAGGACTTGAGAGATATCAGCATTTGTTGGACTTTGTTAGCTGGCAGCCCTTGTTTGTGGCTTGGACTCAGGCCGACTCAGGCGCACTATCCAGTTCCTGCAGCCCACACAGGTACCTTCGAAGATCAACATGGGCAGAACTATGATGTGTTTACCACTCTTTTTGTGTGGACAAATGTCTATGAGAGCCTCATCCCAGCTGGCACAGGTCAGTCACTGTCAATTGCGGAAGCTTGCACTCGAGCAGCTAGTGGCACAGCCGGAGAGACCGTGCAGGAGCCTCCTTGAGGGACCATATGCCAAAGCGGCCCGTGCCAAGTTGTGGGTCTCATCATGGGCTGGTTTGGTATGTCAAGTAGTAAATGGTATTCGAAATTCATGTGGCTGCATGCAAACGAGTTTCTGTGGCACTGGATGCATGCTAAAAGCCAAAATGTGCTGAATGCCACTCAGGACGTTGACATTCGGGTGATCGACTTCAACGAAAGCAGCTTACCTGCTGACATTTGTTGCAAGGATCCTGCAACACCATCTGTGGCTCAAGCACCCCTAACTCATTGGTAAAAGCTGACAATGTTCGCTACTAGGAACAAGTGCATCGCTACTAGGAACAAGTGCCTTACTGGTAGTAACAATGTTTGCTATTAGTTACTACATGTTACTAATAGCAAACATTGTTACGAGTAGCGATGCACTTGTTTACTAATAGCTTCTTGCTACTACTAGCGAGGCACTTGTTACTAGTAGCAATGCACTTGTTACTAGTAGCGATGCACTTGTTCCTGACAAGCTTCAGGTCCGATGCCCCTGCAGAAGATTTGGTCCTTTGACCAATGTGTTCCCTGGCTTCATGTGATGTGCTGAGTGGCGCTTGGTTGCCAAGAGGCTGCAAGCCACATTTGTTTGCTCTCGTTTTTGTTGAGCTCCGAATCATTACAAGCTCAGTTTCCTCGGACCTGAGGTTCAGTTTCCTCCAAAACTCATCGCGGACCTGAAGCAATCCTTTCCATCACCTTCGCAGATTCAGGCCTTTACATGGCCCTTGGCATTGCAGGGAAAGGACCGCCGGTCATTGCTGCAGTTGGCTGCCTTTGATGATGAAATGAAGGTCATTGAAGGTCATATCAGGGCACCCTTTAGCAAATCTATTGGCAGGATGTGATAGGGGTTGCCGCCACGGGCAGCGGGAAAACATTGGCATTCCTACTTCCAGCTTTCAGATTCTTTGCTCAATATTTTTGCAGAGCACAGATGTGATGTTCTTTAAACGAGATGTTTGGTGTCCGCTCCCAGGTGAGTTCTACCACGCAGGTGCTATGCTTTCGCTGTGTTTGCTGTCACGTATGACGTAACGAAACTGGCCTGGGCAGGTCACCAGCCTCAAAGAGATGGAGTTGGACTCTTAGTGATGTCACCCACCAGGGAGCTGGCCCAACAAATTGAGGCCGGGAGACATTTGGGTGTTTCCCATGCGCTTTCACATGAATTTCCTTTCCTCTCATAGGCATCATGGTACTAGAACTCTACATGGATGTGTTTCTTTCTCTCTTTTTTTTTCTATCTCTCTCTCTCTCTTTTTTTGTCCTTGAGGTGGAGGCCAATCGCTTTGGAAAATGCATGGGGATATGGAGCGCCTTTTGTTTGGCAATGACCGCGAGAGACATCAATTGTCGAATTGTTTCTGAAGACTTCAGATTTCAGAAGCCCCTTGCATTGTGCTTGGCTGCTTGGGCAATCTTTGTTTGCAGCTGAGGTCTCAATGTATGGAGGTGCGCCAAAACATGACCAGGCAGGTCCTGCCTCATTGTTTCCTGTGCCCAGCAAGAGTACTACTTGAACCTCACAATGATCCGATGCCGAGGTGAGCAAATACCGTCAAGGCGTTCACAGTATCATTGCTTGCCCTGGCCGGCTCAACGATCTCCTTGACGGCCGTCAAGTTCAGGTGTGGATGTTTTTCAGTCCAAAGCAGTTTGGGAAAGGTTGACTTCTTGTGGTTGGACGTCGGACTGAGGTGAATAGAGTTCGGAAACTTGCTGCTTGGCAACCTCCAGCACGCTTGGGTTTTGACTGCTTGATACTGTCGTGAGATCATGTGAGCCTATAGCGGTCCTTCGGGCATGGAACGCATGAAAACGTGTTGTTTGAACAGTGCGCTAAGGTTTTGGATGAAGCCGACCGAATGCTGGATATGGGCTTCGAACCCCAGATCCAAAAGATCTTGCAGCACGTGCCAAGAAGTCGGCACACAATGTTCTTCACTGCCACGTGGCCGAAGGAGGCCCCAGCTTTCTGCACTTTTCACGCGGAGCGGTCGGAGGGGTGGACATTTGGCAGGTCCGCCAGTTGGCAAGCACGATCTTGTTTCAGCCGGCGCGGGTCATGATTGGAAATCGTGACGAGCTGAAAGCAAATCAGGACTGGAAATCGAAAAGGAGAGTGATGCTAAATTTTTGAACGGAGATGAGTTGGATGCTCAAGTATATATACTATAAATTACTATAATATAATTATGCAACAACCTGAATTAGCTGTGCTGGGTTGATTCGCTTCAGATATCCTGCTTGCAGGATGTCACGCAACAAGTACGCATTGTGGATTCTTTCTCAAAGAAGACAGCCATCATGGAGTTACTGCAGGAAGCAGGTTTGTTGGCACCAGGCCATAAAAACCGTGAGGTTCAAAAGCAGTTTCGTCGAGGTACTGAATGTGGTGCACTCGCAAGTTGAACACACCATTGCTGCATCCTGTCGCCCTTTTGCTTTTGCAGGTGCTGTGGGGAAATGCTTGGTTTTCGCTAGCACCAAGCGGATGTGCGAGGAACTGGCGCAGCACCTCCAAGCCGCTCGAGTTTCATGTGCTGCTATCCATGGTGACAAGGACCATGGTAGTAGGAGGACGCTACTAGGAGCAAAGGGCATCGCTACTAGGAGCAGGGACGCTATATACTAGGAGCAAGAAGCTATTAGAAACAAGAATTAGAATTGGAATTTAGTTTTCTTCTTTGCACTTGTCCATTCGATTTGCGGGCCAAGCCTACCTTCTGGTCCGGACCAGGACCAAAGATCGCGGGATCAAGCCCTTAATGGTCTTAAGCAGGGCCGGATCCGAGTCCTCGTTGCAACTGATGTTGCAGCCAGAGGGCTTGACATCAAGGGAATTGGCGCCTCAGAAGCATCACCATAAAGCCTCCCACAGCTAAACCGCCAACTGGTTGGATTTGTACTTGTTTGAGGCCTGGTGGTGAATTATGACGCCGCACCTTGGAACATTTGGGAATGACATGATCACCAGCACTTGAGAACTGTTTTGCAGGTGGCATTTGTGTTCTGCCCAGAGAGATGTCCTAGGCAAACAACACAGAGGACTACGTTCATAGGATCGGCCGGACTGGACGAGCTGGGAATAAAGGCTTCGCGGTGACGTTCTTATCACCTCATGAGGATAGTGGCAAAGCTTCAGGCATCGTTCAGGCGCGTTATTTGGCATGGATACCAGCAAGAGAATGCGGACATCCCCCCAATTATATACCCAATTCGCATTCCATTTTATGACTAAAGTGTGCCCACTGGAGGTGATGGAGAGCACCAACCAGCATATCAGTGACGAGCTTCGCAGCCTGGCACGGCGTGGCGGAGGTGGTGGCAGATCACGCTGGGGTGGTGGCCGAGGAGGAAAAGGCACAGAGCAGAGAGAGAGAAATCAGACTGTTCTCCCAGATCACATCACGAAGATCAGCTTGTGCGGGCTTCAAGATGTAAGAGTCAAGAGTCATCAAGTGGCATCAATTTGGACAGGTTCTGGTGGCGGCGGAGGCGGAGGTTCCAGGGATTGCAAGTGGTGCAAGATGAATGATTGCTGGACTCATCAAGGGAACGGGAAGAGCCGAAATCGTAGCAGAAGTCCTAGGAGAAGGTAGCTGGGAAATCCAGCCAATGATTCTTCATGCGGCGACTTCGGTCGCGGCGTTCATTCAAGACTTAAAATTTCTGATTTTCGTTCCTTTCCAGTGGCTGTACGACTGTGCAGTTCTGGAAATTATGTCCGAATTAAAGCATGCATGGACCGTCGCGCTCAAATCCGAAACTCAGCACAGAGAGGTTCATTTGCATCCTTCAATTGAGTTTGTATCAATCATTGCTTCCCTTATAAGAACCCCTAGAGAGAGGTATAGTTTCACAAGCACCATTGATGGCTCAGTTTTTGGAGTGCCAAGTGAGGGTGTTGACACATTCGCAGTGCGTGGATCAGGCTCACAGCAGCTTCAGCTCCAGTGGTCTCAAGGCCGCTTTAATCGAGATCTTTTCTGGGTACAGATCTCTTGCATCTCGTGGCTGAAACAGAACATCTCATCTGGAACATTTCTGGCTGTTTTGCATCTCTTCTGGAACTTTGCATGTGTCACCAGAACTTTTTCAATATTTTTCTTCCTTGCCTTTGCAGGAAACTGGGGGACTGAAAAATAGCATGCCACAACCCCTGCTTCGCCCACCACAATCTCCAAGAGGGACTTTTCGTTTTCTCTTCGTGCAACGTTCTTTTTTTTTAGTTTTTGGCAAAAGTGCTTTAGAAGGTTGGGAGCTAAGTTTGTTCATGCCCAAGTACTGGCACCACCATGTCCTCCCCGGTCCTGACTGCCTGCTAGTGCCTGGAGTGCTTGCCCTTTGATGTTGGTTCCGTTTCATTCCGATGCTTCGGCATCTTGTGAATCTTACCAAAAAGTCCTTTGTTCGCTAATTCCACTGGTCTGACGTACGTAGTATACAGTATACTATAATACAGCTCAAATGCCTCAAACTGCACACCCGCTAGTAATCACTTAGAGATACTCTTCAGGCTCTAGATTGTTTTAGATTCTGGACCAGCATGACCTGACCAGGTGGTCCAAGACACTTCTCGCTTGTGCATCATTTGTACTGATCCTGGTTGGCATCTGATCTTCGTTCATAAATGGCGACCAACATGTGAGATTTTCAGTCGTTTCAGTCACTCGTTTCACGCTAGACAATGGATTTACGAGACGAGGCTCTGAGAGCGGCGGCTTTTGGAAGCTTTGGTCCTCGTCCGCAGCCCAAGCGACATAAACGGGAAGCGAGAAGATGTGAGGAGCGCGAGAAAGTGCAAGGTCGGCAAATGACCAGCTGCCAGTGTGTCTGAGTCCGAGAAAGACCTATCTCAAATGTGAAATGTTTGGACATGTTGGACCATGTTGGACCATACATACACTGCACCCTTGAGTGATGAAGAGCTAAGGTGTCCACTGTTACAAAATAATGGAGATCAATTCCTTGTGCAAGGCTTTTGGTCCGACCCGCATCATGGCACAGTGAATAATCTCCCTCCTGTCCCCTGCTGTTTTCGCTCAGGGCGGTACAGTGGAGCCGATGGTGAGCACAAATATGACCAGAGAAGGCACGTACTCTCATTGTCATTTGGAGGAAAACCATTAAACACCTTGATGAAGGACACCTGATTTTTGGTCGTTGTAATTAATGTGTTTCACAGGCCGCAGATGCGAGGCTTGCGCACCACAGGGTAGAGTCGTCCCAGAGGACTGGTGACAGCTGTTGCCCGTTTTCATTTTGTTTTAGGCAATTGTTTCTTCAATGGGGCTCCAAGTTCTATGCAATGAAGCTGGGCAAATGAAGTCGCCAAGTTGCTTGGGCTCAAAGTGGCTCTCGGAAGTGCGACTCCGTTGGCACCATGGCATGTACATAGAATGGGTGGCTCGAGAAAGGGCCGAGGTGGGCAGGATGACTGAAGCGCGCTGAAGCCAGTCCTTGTCAAATTGCTTCTGGAAGCCGCACCCGAGCTTGCGGCAGGCAAAGGCGCTGGCGATGGAGCAAAGGCCACTGGGAAATCTGGAAACTTTTTTGGTGGCGGTGGCTATGTTCCTTGGCATGGTCTTTGGCTTGGCGCTTTCTCACTGTCGTCCTTTTTGGTCGTTCACCATTCCTTTGAGGCATCCTTTGGCGACGCTTGCTTGCACTTGACCAGCTCGCAACGTTTGTATCGATCCCTCCCTGCGCCACAACTCAAGGACTACATGGTGGACAAAAATCGGAAGCTCAAAGAGCAATTCGCTTCCGCTGCTGAAGCAGGAAGTGCAGGCCAGGATTGGCTGTAGAGCTTGATCAGAATGGACAAATCATACACATACACCGTTTGTTTTTGTTTGCCTGGAGGGCTGCGCGCAGGTAGTGCCACAAAGACGGCAATTTTCCAGGGCCTCAGCTTTTGGATGACCGGCCGTACATGCCTGCCAGACCAAGAGTTGAAACGCATCATCGTTGAACATGGTGGTGCCTTATCTTTGACTCAGTTCATGCTAGTTTTCACGTTGTGTTGCTTTTCTTGCGCAATTCATTTGCTTTACTACGTTGTGCGTGCCTGTGTGTGTGTGAATATCAATGTCAGGAGTCTATGAGCAATATGGCTTCACTCATGTGACTCATGTCATTGCGGACAACTTGGCTTCTGGGAACCAGACCTGGGCACAGCTGAAGCGACGCACCAAGCGGGTGAATGTAGTCACTTCCTCTTGGGTTATGGATTGCGTGAAAGAGGGCCGACGCAACTCGCTTGGCAGACCTTTGTTAGCGGCTCAAGAGTATTCCCAGCGTGTGTGTGTTGTATAGCGAAGCGCTTGGTTCTTGATTCCTAATTGAATGCCTTCAATAATTTCATTGCACTTTATGAGCCGAGGCATTCCTGAGCTGCGTTGCGTGGCAGTGAAAGTGTTTGGACTTTTCACATTTTTAGTCCCGGTGGCGTGTGCCGTCGTGTCGTGTGCCTAGATACAGTACCAAATGTCATTGGAATGTAGATCTGTCATGATCTGTTGTTTGTTTTGTAATGACCAAAGCCTGTCGTCACCCTTGATCATGTAATGAGTCCTGGCAGCATTCCCCACGAGAGCTGCAGCACAAAGGCTACATGCCTGCTTGCCTGTCGACACCGTCATCAATGCTCTCCTTTATGGACCGTAAACAGGTGGTGAAGACACTTGGATGCGATTGGGTCGTATTGATACTTTTGACTTGTGACATGTCATGACGCCAAAGAGGCTCTCATCCCGCCACTCGTAAAGATTCTAGATTGACAAATTGAAACAGGTGTGAGATATCATGAGATTCTTTGACAAGCGCAGCTTTGGGTTCAGGCAGAGGAATGTGGAAACCAGCATTGCTTTTTTCAGTGATTTCGGCCATGTCTCCACCGCTCACACTGGGTGCGGGGAAGCTTTTGCAAGTTTTGGATGGGAAGCAATTGAATGCAGAATGGCTTTCTTCCGTGTTGCTAGCTGCATATCGCAATGGACAGCAACCTTTACCCTCAACGGATGTGGCTTCCTTGGAGGTTGTTATGGGCACTGAGAGGTTGTGGCCTCAATCTCATTCAGCACAACTCCAGCTGGACCTTGTGGGGAAGCAACACCCTGCATTTCTATACTTGAAGAAAGTCATTGCACGAGATATGCCAGCCAAAAGTGCACAAGCCTTGCGCAGGGACTTGATCTCCAATCGTGTCGAGGCTCGCTTCTACGAAGAGTTTTCGGTCGAGCTTCGCTCTCGAGGTGTCCAATTGCTGCAAGCTCCCTTAGTGCAAGAGCGATTGTCATGCTTGGACTTGGACATCCAAACAAACGAAGACGAAGAGCAGCTTTTACGCCAGGGTGGCTTAGTGCTTCTGCTCGAGTGCGTGGATGAAAACTACACTCAAACCTCTCCATTGACTTTTGAGCAGGCCACTGCCACCTTGTCCATGCTGGCTGACTTTCATGCAGCGGCCTGGGAGGATCACACCTTGCTAACTAAAGCCTCAGACAGGCTTCATTCCACTGGAGGCTATTGGGAACTGGATCGCCGGGGGAGGCCTGAGCTGGAGAACCTAAAGCCCAATTGGGACCACTACTTGAAAACGTTCCACTCAGAAGCGCCAGATCTTTTGAGCAAGCCCAGCATCAGAAGGCTAGCAGAAAGGCTGGAGTCCGTTGCAGTTTGGGTGTCATCGCAGCTGAAGCCTGCTCCGACTGATTCATTCGCTACATTGATGCATGGGGATGCTAAGGCTATGAACATGTTTCTACCGGCCACAGGCTCCTCTCGCAAGCCCATTTTGATCGACTTTCAGTGGACTGGCGTAGGCTTCGGTATGTCAGACGTGGCGATGCATTTGACTCATTCCGTCCATGTGTCAGCGTTGCGCGACGGTGGTGAAGAACAACTGGTAAGGCTCTACTATGATAGCCTGGTCAGTACTCTGAGGGCTCCAGCAAAAGCTGTGGATGCATCACTGAAGCTATCCAAACCATTCTCATTTGAGCAGGCTTGGCACTTGTACCGGCTTGCCTTTGTTGATTATGCCAGAATGGTGGTGTGCACCTTCTTTAAAGATGCTTCTCCAGAAGCATTTCAGGCAAGGGCCCAAAAGGAAAATGTTGGTTTCGTGTACCGCGACGTTGAGGCATCCTTGCACTACTTAGAAATGGTTGACCGCCACTTGGAGTATGTGGAGACCTCTGCGGAAAACTGCGAGAGGTCAACTCCTAGGAAAGACGCATGTGTCATCGAGTGAGGAAACAAAAGATGGGCCCACACAAGAAATTTTCAGAAAAAACAGACTCAAGCACGTGCAACAATGAACCATAGGAAGATGGTCCTCCTGTCATCCTGAGGGAAGAAGAGGCCACACCGGAGAGTTGCTTGCTTGCATTTCCTCTCACCTTGATGGCCTCCAGGGTTTGGAAGTTGCGATTGTGAACTCAGGTCGCACCGGGGACTCCACAAATCGAGTAGATCCATCGCCAAGCACGCATTTCGGCAGCAACTTGCGGATTGCAATGACTTTGCAGCCTGAAAACAGTGATTCGTTTCAACGGTGTGAAAGAAGCACGCTTTGGAAAAGTGAAACGAAAGAACAACACATTTTCAAGAACAAATGGCCTCCGACCTAAGAGCGATGGCCTCCAACCTGATGCACGCTTTGTATGGGCTGACGCCCTGGTGCCCGACCCTGTTTTTTGAGGGGTGGCTAGGAGAGACGTCGGGCAAGAATTTTGCCGGAACCTCTTTGGAAGTGGAAAAGGGAATAGTCGGAATAGTGACACACCCCGAGAGGGTAGGAGTTTAAGCAATCATTATCATACGGTTCGTGAATCTAGAGCTCAAAGCCAAGAATCCGAAACTGCAAAGAACTTGTCGGAAAACTGGCGGAGACCCTAAGAATCGTTCCATTGCTATGATTTTTAATCAAAGATATTGATGCATTTTGCCTGCCTTCACTAGGGTCCTGACTCCTTTAGCTGGTGAACCTTCCAGATCAAGCCCGGAAGTCCACCTGGACTGAAGGAAGACCCTTGGCCCATGTTGTGCCGCACGCAAATGTCAGCGGAGAGGGTCCCAGATGCCAGCTTCGAAACCATTCGAAACCCACTGAAACAAGGTTGGAAAGGCCACGACCAGAGGCCTGGAAGGTATAGGCCTGGCCACGCCCGTGCTTGGCCCATGAAATGAAATGCCGCCGGAGAGGGTCCCAGATGGCAGCTTCGAAGGGCGTGGCAGGCGTGCTTCGCCAGAGCCTTGGCCCACGTATGCCCCCGTTCTGCACAAATGCCACGGCCAGAGGCGTTGAGTGGACCAAGGCAATCGTTCCACCCGCCAGGGTCAGCGGATTTTGGCCAATGTATATGTACAGTGTACCGTTGACATCGCTGCAACAGAATTAGTTGTGCAACTGAGGGAGCCTGTTGAAAAGAAGAGGGCCACGGCTTGGAACCCAGCTTTCGCAGGAAAGTGTTTGAGAACCTGAGCTTGTGCTTTCCAATATGTCATTGCGACATTGCGTACGGCTGGTATTTGACCGCGCCGGTTTACCGATTTCTGATTCACACCAGTTCAATGATCCGATCCTACCAACCTAGAGCCGACATCGAATCTGCCGTTGCTGTAGCTCAGATAGTGGTACCGTAAGCTTCCGCTATTTGGAAACGCCCAGCCTACCAAATAGCCAGTTCTATAATGTTCTATATATAATACTTACTCAGCCAATTCGCACGGCGCAAAGATAGACAGACATCTTAACCCGTTTGGCCCTAAGCTTTTTGTACACCCGCGACCGTTAATATAAGTCCGCCCGTCAGTGCCGGCGTTGAGGGTTGTGCTCACATTAGAGACGCAGAGTAAGCGATGAACACTGTCAACTCCAGTATAGCTATAGCATGAGTACACTGATGAGAAAGCGATGTCCTGTTGATGTCAGAAAATGATTGAGATCGGTTTTTAAACCCGTACACGCGCATAAACACGTGTAAACCTGTGCAATGAAGCAAAAGACATTTCCCGTCGCACTGCAATATGTTGTCCAAAGGCTGCAGAGGAGAAACTCAGCCAACCTTGCAAGAAATCAAGACAATCTCATGGCGTGAGCCCTAGTGACTTAGTGAGGGAATTTATTGCACAACTGTTTCAACATGTGCGAACACTCCAAGGCCAAGGTTTTTTCGGCATATTATTGGACATCAGGCGAAATGCAGGCATTCGACGGTGAGCCGGGGAGGAGTTCTTTCACATTCCAGGCGCAAGCAGAAACTTGAGCGGTTCTTGTTTCATGAACTTCACATCTCATGCCAGCTGCAGGTCCACACTCCCTGCGCTGAAGGCTTGGCTGATGGTTTCCCACAACTTCTGGAGATTTTAACCAATCTTGCTGAAAGCTCCGCGCAGCTACTCCGCAGCTGACTTGCAAGTTGGTTAAGTTGTGAAATATTTTCTGATGTCAGACTCTCTCGCTGTACGTTGGGTATACAATTCGTCAATACAGTTTCGATGTTTCGTCTCTTTCTCTGGTCACATTTGCTGCAGACGTGGGGTTCTCCGAGCAAAAGCAAGACAAGCAAGCACAAGACGAGTCGTAAACGTGGAGTTTGCCTGTGTTTCTGACAAAGTTTGAATGTTTTCACGCATTGAAAGAAGTGTTTGAGAGAAACATTTTTTTAAATGTTGTGTCACGATGTGTAGGTTGGACACACAATCTATACTATCTATACCTGAGTTTTGCAAAACGTTGTTTTGATCTCAGTCAAGGTGCGGCCTCATGTTTTCAAACATTTTTTAATGTTGAGGAACGCGTAGGGTGTCCCGTTGCCACCCATAAAAAATTGTCTGGGGCTTCACAGTACATGGCCACGACTGGAAGCAGCCGCATGCCCAGTTGCGTGCTTGCTGCACGGAGCATGGACCTTCGGTGAAGCTCTTGAGCCGAGCAGCTGCCTGTGCCATCTCTCTCTCTCTCGCTGTGCCAGTATGTCCGGCCCTGAACCACCCTTAAAGCAGGGGCTGAGCCGTGTGGCGGCCGTGCGCCTGGAGAGCTGCTGTGCGCGGAGGCTCCAGTTTGTTTTGGGCATGGTTTGGCTGCCATGTCCACCCTGAGTGAGGAAAGCGACCTGCTACACCATGAGCGATCGCGTGGCCTCCCTTTTGTCGGGGTGGCTCACCCTGTTGTCAGTAGCTGCAAAACAGACATACTTCCAAGAAAGGACGCAGAAAGAGTCAATGGAGAGAGGCGCGAATCCATGCAACTTATCCTGTCCCAGCTGGTGATGCCACTCATCCAGGTTTTGTTGGGTGGCACGGTTCCATTCCTAAGTGAGGGCAACGATGATGGTGGCAAGACTAGACGCGGTCAAAGGCAGAGAAGATGGTTCACATGTGGCGGATGGCCAAGCAATAAGTGCTCCTCCGGGCGCGCCAGGTTGCCATGGCACGAAAAGGCCCACCATGCGACCTCGGAAACTCCGTGCCGATTGGGAATCTGTCGATTCGATGCTGGTCAACACGTCTATTTCCAGCGACTGTTGACATCGTGGGTTTTGTGACCTTGTTGTGCTTGTGGGCCTTGTGCCCTGAAGACATTCGACGCCGTACGTGCAATGCTGGAAGTGTGCCAGGGATGTCTCAGTTTTTGCTTTAGCTCGGCTCAACTCCCAGGTAGTTTCGTGAGGTTCGTTCGTGGCAACTTCGATCCAACAATCAAAAGTATCCGCAGCCAACAAACGAAACAACTTCCTGAAAAGAAACCTACTGTACGTCAGTGCTTCATCTCCCCAACCACATTTTTGTGCCCTCCGTTAGTTTTGTTTCCACACGGGATACGTGAATGCTTTTATGCAATGATTTTCCAACCCTATCCTCTTGAATCTACATCGCGAAGTAAGGTCAGCGGCATAAACACTACATAAGCTTATCACATCTTGCGTTGCACTCACAACGAACGTCGCCGCTTAGCAACCTCCCCCACCCCTTCCCCCATTTCGTAGACGCAATCTAACACTAACCTTCATCACAGCGCAACATGATGCTCATAGACCTTAATCAAATCGACCTCAACATGCTGCTTCAATCGGCATCACAGCTTCTGTGAAAGCTTCAACTTCAGCTTCTCAGAGAACCCCCGGTCTGCACCCTCACATCTAGTTATTGCTGTTTTTTCTTGAGGCTGAAAATCCGCTTGGGCATTTGCTCTCTCAAAACATTAAAGTGCAATGCAAGACCATGGTGTAGCAAAGGCCAGCAAAGTTGCTGCACCACTGCAGTCGGGCTTTGTCTCACCATGGGAGATGCTGCAGCTGAATGGAGCGGCCCCTCGGCTTGAAATGTGCAGTGATGCCCTCAACAATCTTCAGCAGCTTTATATTCTGCAGCTCTGGGAGACTTCAGGTGCCAGTAACTTGGCGCGTGCTACCAGCTCCAGCGAAATTCTGCCTGTATTGAAGTCGTTGGCTCTCCGAGCTTCTGCAGCTTTGGCCCTCGAATCCGTTGGCTACAAGACCCTGCGCAACGTGGAAGCCCGACTGCACTGTGATCGATCCGGAGTGTCCCTCTTGGGACCGTCGGCGGGTGACATCCCAAGCGATGGAGAGAAGGGCTACGAAGAGGAAAAGGTTAAGGAGATGGCAGATGATATTGACTTCACACCTCCTCCAGAAAAGCGGGCAGCAACTCGAAGTAATGATGTCCCGAATGTTGATTTGAGTGTGGCAGAGGTGCGGTACATTCAGGCTCAAAGTTGCTCGGCTCAACATCGGCCTTGCTTCCATGGTCCATGGGTCAGTCATGCACTTGTGACACAGCCAGACACACCTTTTTTCTGAAAATGCAAATTTGCTCTCACAGAATTCCAGTGCCTGTAGTGCAAATCAGGCTGCAGCCCAGAGCTGGGAGATGAGGAAGGCCACCGCAAAGCAGAAGAGATGGAAGAGAGTGAAGTAAGAGAAATGAGGGAGGTGAAGAAAGATGAAAAAGTGAACTTCAGGGACAAACTCGACGAACTGGAGAACGTGGATAACACAAGTCACGCTCAAGGGCTTCCAAAGTCAACTCTTACTGCTGGAACTTCTTCAAGACCACACTGGAAGGAGTTGCCAGTTTGGGCAGCAGATACGAATGAGCCTGGTATGACTGTTGATTGGCAGAATTTTGCATCACCTGGGATTTCATGCGCGCATATCACATACTTAGACTTACACTTTTTTTTGACAGTATTGGTTGTGACGTTGTATGTATGCTTGTTCTTTCTGTTCAGGTTTGGCATGGCAATGTGCCATGCCAGTCAGTTTTCAGCTGATTATTTTCTGAGGCGACCTCTTGCCAGCTCATGCAACACTGGCGGGGAATCTGCAAGGTGTTGCAGAGTAGCTTGACATAATTTTACATTGCCTGAGAATCTTGGATTAGTAGTAGGATGTAGTAGGATTTGCGCTGCTAGTCAAGACCTGCTGGCCGGAGAAGGCAAACCTCACAGTTTTGTGTTTTAAACCTTCTTGGCCGGCAAGTGTTCAAGACCTTTTTGTGCTGCATTGCCCTCACATGATCATAGAGAAAGAAAGCAGACATCCAAGCGACCATGGTCGATGTTTCGGATAGAGGATAGTTTTTGATAAATACACAGTCCACGACATACTGTCAAAGGAAGGGTCACTTGAAAGCCTTGGGCGTTGCACTTAAGTTAACAACATCAAGGCATGAAGTCTTCAGGGCTAATGGCGTGGCATGATCTATGCCGTGGCCCCACGGAAAGAAACATTCACCAGCCTTCTTTGACAGCAACACTCGCTTGCCACGACGCTCGGATGAAGTGATTGCAACGATGCCTTTGTTTGGGGCACCGTATGGTTCACACTTCTTATGTCAGCTGGCTTCGCATCGTTTCAAGCTGTTTCACTGCATGTGTTCTTGCGCTTCCACTCTAGGTGGAGGCTTTCCAAAGCCTCGTGGGCGCTCGGGAGTTCGAGGTAGCCATTGCAACTGAAGCAAGCATCAATTGAGTCACCATGTCACCATACATCCGTTCATATTGTGAGCGTTGTCAGCCCTTGGGCCTTACTGGAGTGGAGATACCCAACCATAATCCAACAGGCTTGGCAGACTGGTTTGTCAGTCACTAATTGAGCCACGTCCCCAACTACCTGAAGGTGGTGCATCTTGCCCTGCGAGCACTTCGAATTGCCACTGCCAGGAGGGTGCCATCCACACTTCGAGGGGAAGGCCTGATGAAGGGGAGTGTTGGTTGTTTCTGGGAGTAGGCATGGGAAAAAAACATATATATATATATAACTCGGCTTTGGCACAGATCGCAGATGATATGCACTGTCAGGGGAAATCTTGCTATTTATAATTTGCCACTGTGCCAATGCTCCAGCGATCCACACAAGTTTTTGAGAGTTGTTGCGTCGCAGGCCAGCTGCCAACAGCAGATCACTTCAACAGCCTGCTTGCTGCAACACAAAAGGCCATGGCGGCCACAGGGGCACGCTTTAAGGTGGCCCCTTTGTCTGACCTGGAGAGTGGAAAAGAGTGCTGCTCTCCATCAAAAGGCAGGTTTTACATGTCACAAATGACGGTGCAGCAGGGACTTTGGCTGGATGCATTACATATATGTTGTTTTTCTGCAGGACCAAGCAGAGACTTCAAAGGCAGACCATCGGTTGCACCCTTGCAGGTCCCTTCACGTTGCCACCGGTTTGCTTTCCCTCTTCATGCCCAAAGTGGATCAGGTGCCTCGTATGTCGGAAGTGTGCGGCTATAAGCTCAGACCGGGGCATCTTGTTACTAGTAGCTTCTTGCTACTAGTACTTTGAGAAATGGGCAGTGGTTGAAGAATGGAACACCTGTGCCCAGGAAAAGGTGGCGTGGAGCGACCGTTCCGTGGGGGAGCTCAGAGGAAAGCGTCCAGTCTTATGATGTGATGACGTGTTATGCCAGGCTTGCCCTCTTTGCGACATGAAGGTCCAGTGGCTGTCAGACGAGAGGGTGCCTCAACTGCAGTGTTATTGGTGATGAGCCATGTTCTCTTTGAGATTTGATTGCAACCAAGCTAGAGAGAGAGAAAAAAAAGAGAAAAAATATACATAATGCAGAGTCATTCACGCTTTTCCAAGTCCAGTTGTGCTTGTGGAGGCCTTGATTGCAACTGGATGGCGCGTCACACGGGTACATGATGGCAACAGGAGAGTGATCACTTCACGAACGGGATTTCCTTCAATAATGATGTAAAAGCATCTCAGGAAAATAATGTCGCGATGTGGTAGATTGTGCGGGCGTGCAGGCCAGAGAAATGTGGGATGTGCGGAAGTCGTTCCAAATGAATACCATTGATTCTTAAACATAATCTATAAAATATCATCATATCACTAGCCCCTTGCGGTGCCTGACCCCGCTGGGGGGTCAAATTTGTAACTTACAATTTTAGACTTTGCAAGGATAGCATTGTACAGCCCTATTGCGGGGGTTGATAATTATTACTGTAGATAATATTAGATCTAAGGTTGAGGTAGCCTATATTAGGATCTTCCTCAAAGAGGTCTTGGCCTACTACTTGAGACTTTGAAAGCAGGGGGGTTCAAAATTGTAAGAATGAATGGATAGGTACCCCGCAGAGCAAATTACAATTTCACCCTCCCCGCCTCTGTCATTTTTTTTTCATTGCAATTTGGACATATTGGTTACGAGCCATGTTATTATGCATCTATTTGACCCTCAAAAAGGTATTGTAATTTACAATTTTTGAACATGTATAGGCTTAATAAATATATATAAGGTTCAAATATATAATTTATTTACAATTTTGATCCTTTAATAAATGGAAATATTTTGGATCTATATATTTAAAATTACCGTTTTTTTAAATTTATATATTAATAAATTTAAAATTGTAAATTTCATTTATATTTTATATATATATTATTTCTAATGGTATTTATTATTTATTTAGATTATATTATTTAAGTGTTGCCGTTTTTGTCGCCGATCCGGAAATATTTCTTACAACTTTTCTTCAGCTAATTCTAATTTAAAACGAGCCTCTCTTGATTGCACTTTCGCTCCTAAACGCCTCTTTTGAATACCTATTTAAAAAACACTTTTCTTTCCTTTCTTGCGTTTTTCTTGGCTCCGAACACCTGATTCCGCTATAGCTTTCTCCCATCTAATTTTCGTCTAAAACGAACTTCCCCTATTCGCACTTTCGATACTAGACGCCCCCTTTGAATCCCTCTAAAAAAAAACTTTTCTTACCTAGCTTTAACTCCGCATCCGGGTTCTGATCGCACTGTCGCTCCTAAACGCCCCTTCTGAATCCCTATAAAAAAAAATTTTTCTTTTCTTTCTGGCGTCTTGCTTGCCTCCGAACACCTGATCTCGCTATAGCTTTTCCCTAGTTAATTCTAGTCTAAAACGAGCCTTCTTTGCTCGCACTGTCGCTGCTAAATGCCCCCTTTGAATCCCTATTTAAAATATATTTTTCTTTGCTTTCTGGTGCCTCCGATTACTTGACCCCGCCATAGCTTTTCCCCATCTAATTCGTCCAAAACGAGCCTCTCCTGATCGTACTTTCGCTCCCAAACGCCTCCTCTGAATCCCTATTAAAAAAACACTTTTCTTTTCTTTCTTGCGCCCATCCTGGCTCCGAACACTTGATCCCGCTACAACTTTTCCCCATCTAATTCTCGTCTAAAACGAACCTCCTTTGTTCGTACTTTCGATACCAAACACCCCCTCTGAATCCCTCTAAAAAAAAAAGACTTTTCTTATCTAACCTTAACTCCGCATCCGGATTCTGATCGCATTGTCGTTCTTAAACGCCCCCTCTGAATCCCTATTAAAAAAAAACACTTTTCTTTTCTTTCTGGCGCCTTGCTTGCTTCCGAACACCTGATCCCGCCACGGCTTTTCCCCAGCTAATTCTAGTCCAAAACGAGCCTTCCCTGCACGCACTGTCGCTGCCAAACGCCCCCTCTGAATCCCTATTAAAAAAACATTTTTCTTTCTTTTCTGGTGCCTCCGAACACCTGACCCCGCCATAGCTTTTCCCCATCTAATTCTAGTCCAAAACGAGCCTCCCCTGATCGCACTTTCGCTCCCAAACGCCCCCTCTGAATCCCTATTAAAAAAAACACTTTTCTTTTCTTTCTTGCGCCCATCCTGGCTCCGCACACCTGATCCCGCCACAACTTTCCCCCATCTAATTCTGATCCAAAACGAGCCTCCCCTGATCGCACTTTCGCTACCAAACGCCCCCTCTGAATCCCTATTAAAAAACACTTTTCTTTCCTTTTTGGCGTCCTTCCGAACACCTGACCCCGCCACAGCTTTTCCCCAGCTAATTCTAGTCCAAAACGAGCCTTCCCTGCACGCACTGTCGCTGCCAAACGCCCCCTCTGAATACCTATTAAAAAAACACTTTTCTTTCCTTTCTTGCGCCCATCCTGGCTCCGAACACCTGACCCCGCCACAGCTTTTCCCCATCTAATTCTGGTCCAAAACGAGCCTCCCCTGTTCGCGCTTTCGAGACCAAACGCCCCCTCTGAATTCCTATTTAAAAAATTCTTTTCTTTCCTTTCTTGCGCCCTTCCGAACACCTGACCCCGCCACAGCTTTTCTCCATCTAATTCTGGTTGCCAAACGCCCCCTCTGAATCCCTATTAAAAAAACACTTTTCTTTCCTTTCTGGTGCCTCCGAACACCTGACTCCGCCACAGCTTTTCCCCATCTAATTCTAGTCCAAAACGAGCCTCCCCTGATCGCACTTTCGCTCCCAAACGCCCCCTCTGAATCCCTATTAAAAAAACACTTTTCTTTCCTTTCTGGCGTCCTTCCGAACACCTGACCCCGCCACAGCTTTTCCCCATCTAATTCTGGTCCAAAACGAGCCTCCCCTGATCGCACTTTCGCTGCCAAATGCCCCCTCTGAATCCCTATTAAAAAAACACTTTTCTTTCTTTTCTGGTGCCTCCGAACACCTGACCCCGCCACAGCTTTTCCCCATCTACTTCTCGTCCACAGCGAGCCTCCCCTGTTCGCGCTTTCGAGACCAAACGCCCCCTCTGAATCCCTATTAAAAAAACACTTTTCTTTCCTTTCTTGCGCCCATCCTGGCTCCGAACACCTGACCCCGCCACAGCTTTTCTCCATCTAATTCTGTATCCCTGGAAAGTTGTCCATGGCACAGCCGGAGGGTAGGACCCCCCCGGCAACTCCGTATTCCCTTACGCGCTCCCCCTTGCTTCAACCGGGATCGGCGGATATGATTATGATATTTCATTTCTATTATGATTATGATTTTATATGTTTTATTTTTATATGATTATGATATTTCTTGTAATTTCTTGAATTTATATGAAATAATGATTGGGAATGGTTTAAATTTGTAAATGTATATTAAGAAATAACTATTATATAAAGGTTTTATTTTATATTATATTGATTTCTTGAGATTATATTTTATTGATATAAATATATATATATATAAAATAAATATATATAAATATTAAAAAATTATAACAATATATATTATTAATTATATTAATTTATAAAAAAGAAATATATACATATATTATTTTCTATTTATATGAAATTAATATTATAGATTGAGGAACAATAAATATTATATTTTTTATATTTCGAAATTATATATATATACTATAAATAATATGATTTATTGTTGTTTTAATGGATACGAATATTTTTTTAAAGGGATACGAATATATGTGTTAATATTCGATTTTATTATTAATAAATATATATTTAAAATATATATCTATTAATTGATTTGATTTCTATATTTACATTAAAATGATTCCGATTATGTATTTCCGTGCACGCGTTTTTGTCGGTGGTGTGAAATAATATTAGATGAATGGTGTAAGATGAATTATATAAAATGAGTGGTGTAAATAGGCGGCAATGCAATAATGGATGCGGGCGTGGAACGACGGATACAGAATGAAATAATAAAATCCCATTTAAACATTGTGGTGAAAACATAGAGCAATTTTAATTTATGTAGATTTCAATTGCTAATTCCGCTCCATTTATTTTACCCCATTCATCTCATATTGCCTATCTTGCCCCATTTAATTTATATTATTCATTTGATACCATTCATTTTTTACTATCCATCTAACACTAGCCATCTTACAATTTACACCATTTATCCTTCACCATTCATCTCACACTATTTATTTTACACACCACTCATCTCATACCACCTATCTCCCACCACGCATCTTACACCACTCACCTTACACCATTCATTTTACACCGGCACAACACTTAGTGAGCGCAATACACAGAGCCTGCAGGACGACTAGGTGGACGCGTGGTCGCCGCTGCCTGTCGTCTAGATTTCGTGGTGGGCACAGCACTTGGTGCATCTAGCGCGCTGCAGGAGGATTCGGTGGACGCGTGGTCGCCGCTAGCCCGCGGCTACCTATCGTATAGATTTCGTAGCATACACAACACATGATGAACCTAGAATGGAGATTTCGTGGCAAGTGCAATTCACAGAGCCTACAGGAGGACGGGGCGGACGTATGGTCGCCGCTGAACAACGAAACCGAAAGGAACGCACCATTCGTCTTACACCATTCAATACACACCACTCATCACACACTACTCATCTTACACCACTCATCACACACCACTCATCACACACCACTCATCACCACCACTCATCTCACACCCTCATCACACACCACTCATCTCATTCACTTTGATCGTCCAATATCTTTCCGTCCTCTTTTCTTATCAATCTCTACTTATCTTTCTTTGGCATTGCAGCCGTTTCGGTTACGGTGCGCACTATCACGACGATGCCAGCAAGGTTTGGAGATCAATATCACGAAAGGTAGCTTGGTAAGGACTACCTTGAGTTTGCTTTGCGAAGCAAAGGGACTGGCTTGAGAGTTTGCTCGGGATTAAAGATTGGTAGATCAATGTCTAACACCCCATTGCGTACTGCGTTCACAGACCATATTGCTCGACACCAACGAGCATCGATGCAACGCAGCCTTTCTGCAAAGCCCTGTGGAGAAACCCCTCGCGTCGCGGAACACCATTCGACTCAGCCTTATACCCTAGCGTGGCGAAGTCTTTCCGCATCGTGGAACACACCCACCATAGCGCGACGTCCATCCCTGGCAGTACCGGCCGCGCCCCTCCA